TTTCCAAGCCCAACATCAAGGCTTTTGTTACAACCAAAGCGGTCATTTGCATGGAGAACCAACAGGGTTTCTTCTTCTTCAGCGTTTCCCCGATCGTAACACACACTCGCTCTCTCCGATACACACAGAGGCAAACCTCCTCTCTTGCAAACAAACAACACGGCTAAACGCACACATATTCGCAACTACGGAATCTACAGATCGCCAGCAACGCTCCGCATACTGAATAGTTTGCTACTAAGACGTAATTTAGGTATAAAAATAACAGACAAACCTTTGGAGCGCTGCCCCAGCCGGAGTTCCTCTCCCTCTGCTCTGCTGTTACTGACAAGATCAGGCTGAGATTAACAAGTCCATGCTACTCTGACAGCCTTACTCCTCTGGCTTTTTTACACACGCCGTGGGCTTTAAATAATATCAAACTTTCAAGAAAGTTAAAAATGGAATGAATTAAAGGAACGTAAAGCACAATAGCAGGAAAGCAGAAAACACTGCCTGGACAATTATTGCAGCAGCACACAGGGCACTGCTCTGTAGTTAAGGCTGTGTCAGCACTTTCTTTCTAAACCCCCCCATTTTTCAGGGGGTTGTAACTCAGAAAGAAAAAAAAAAATTGCTTATGGCTAAAAAATGACTCACAGGTAAACCCCGTCCCCTTTGCCTTTTAAAACATCCATTTAGACCGTTCAGAAAGTTACAGGAGTCTGTGCACTTTATCAGTAAGTCCCACATGCCATTTTTATGCAAATACAATGCTTCTTTTTAAAATGAGATTTCACAAGAATTTGATCTACATTGTGAATTTTGCCCCACTCCCTTTTCTTTATAAAGGCAAATTAATAAATACTTTGACACCTGAAAACCGGTTTGTGTAAACATGGGATAATTTCTAGATAACTTCTACAGGCACGCATTGCCTGAAAGGTACCAGATTAGTTACAGAGATATTAAATTGTCTGCTCACACAGCTGATTCAGCACAGACAATGGCCTCTACTGAGGTCTCAACTCTAATCCATTATGGCAACTTTGTAACCTCAATTGCTGAGTGCATCTACATTTTCCCCTGATAAGGAAAGTGTCCTTACAATCATGCTAAAATAAGGAAACAAAGCGTTCGATCTGCAATTCCTACTTTACAATGACGCTTGAAACTGTGGCACAACAGGGCAATCTCTCCTGCTGTTGTTAATGGCTGGGTTTTGTTGGTGGGGGCTTGTTTGTTTGTTTGTTGAGTTTTAACACTCTTGGGTAATTTCCTCTCAGATACAGAAATAAAGACACCAACTTCTCCAGTCCATTTACATAAACCAGGTACACTAGTACACTTTTCAGTTATAAACTTAAAGTTACGATACATTTAATGTAAAAATTGTGCAACGGCCTAAGTCTGCTGGACAAGAAAACCAAAGCTTAAATTTTGCCCCTTTTGGCTGATATGGAATAACCAAGACACCAGGCAGCTCATTTGATCCTTACAAAACTCAGTATATCAACACTTGTTCAGCAAAAGTTGTCCCTCTGCTCTCTAGGAATTTCTGACTCTGCACTACGTATTATATAAAATCAAGTAGCATCCACTGAAATTGAGCAATCATTACAAATGTTTGACTGTTGTGAATAAATCAGTAAAGCAAAAATTTCCCCAGTAGGAACTGCCTCATCCTCATCTTCTAAGTCATAACACTTTGATATTAGTATAGGTCATCTCATACTTCTGTCTTACAAAGATAGCTGTCTGGCATATTTTGAAGACAAGCTGCTTTGATATTAACACTTATTCTGTCAATGCTGTGCACAGTTATTGTTAACAAATACCAAAATTTCTCTGATTATTCAGAAGAAAAAATTAACATAGATTAAAGTCCTAAGCATCTCACAAACATCTTAACTCACCAGAAGAATATATGGTGAAGGCTTGTACTTCTCCATTATAAGATGGACAGTACAATCATCACCCATCTGCTCAGGGGAGGAGTGTTTTTCTGGCCAGTGGTGCAGCCTGTGCTCCTATCTGATCCAACATAGGACTTTATATCACTGGCTTATGCCAGTCTCATCTGCTACAATGAGAGATGATGTAACATGACACACATTCACTTTTGACACCCTGGCACTGAGGTTATAATGTCCATAAAGAGGAAAGAGAAGCAAACGTAATAAAATTTCAATCCACAGCAGTCTTCTTTAGCACGTGGAAGAAGAACACTAAGGTTTCTGCTTTGCTCCACCGAATAATATATAGAGTATTGTTTCTGAAAGACACACAATTTGCACAAATGCTTAATGGTAGAGAGATGTTTTCCACTAATCATTAATCTGGAGCAAAGCGGAAGACTATTGGAAATACTTTTAAGATACAGTCAAATAAGTCTTGGAGTAAAGGTTTGGAGTATTCTGTACACACTGCTTAATTTTAACTAATTGCTAATTCACATTAAGATACTAAAGAAGAGGACAAACATTAATAATGACTCAACTGAACAATGCCAAGAAATACAAAATGGAAGCTGATTTTTATTCTTCCTTTTACACCACTAGGGGACAAGGAAAAATAAACAAGATACAGTACACAAACCTCCTTAGTAGATCCAAATTTGTATCCCCTATTTAAGAATAATGTGATAGGATTTATAAGAACTGTAAAAACAAGTTGCATCGGTAATTAAATTAAATTTAATTAAATTAAGCCTCAGCTTTAAAACTTTGTATGGTAGGTTAAGCAGAAGACATTTATTAACCTAATATTAAAGAACAAAGATTAACCTCTGTATATGAATAACCTTACGCAGGAATAACAATAACCTTAAATATCTTCTTAAATTGAGCTGGAAACTACACATTTTAACAAGTTCAAAAGATCATTAGCTTAGTTCTTATCTCCACATTTATCATGCCAACATTTATATTATAAATCAACAGCTGCAACCTAAAGTTGAAAACATGCCAGAAATATGCATAGGTTGTATCAATATTTGCACATGGAGCCTAGAACATAAATTAGTTGACACTCAACACTTTAAGCTTCCTCTCTGAATTTGCAATATTTAAAGGTTAAAGATTAGACATGCTCCCTCTTGTGTTAAACTAAGAATACACGGAATACATGCTGTTTTCTCTGACATGATGGTTGCTTGGCCATCTGTTCCATTAGGCAAACCCTTTAACTTTGGCTACTAATGTCTGACAAACCTTCACCAGTAATTCTCCAGTTTAAAGACAGTCACGGCCTGAGCACACCGCCTGTATCCACAGAATATTTGTGTTACATTAGATTAGCTACTGTATTGTCAGAGAGGATCCTTAAGAGATTACACATAAAAAATCTGTTGCAAATAATACTTCAGACAAATACATATATAACTTGGTAAGTAACATTAAAGTCACACTTCTTTAGCCCCAGTAAGTATCACAAGTATCACAAAGTATGCCAAGTTCAAGCTGTTCAGTAACATTGGTGACAGGGAATATTGAACAGCAAATTTCCTTCTAAGTATTAGGCTACAGAATATTTAAAACAGACAAGAACGACATGAAGAATTTACAGTGCCACCTAATTATGTTTGTAAATACAGCAACAATTGAGCTAAGTTTACAGTCCTCCCCTTGACAAGCTCAGGTGAACCATTCCCAGCACAGAGCCTTAATGGTGTCAAAATCCTCCTTAGACAAATCCTCTTGCAGAATCCGGCCCCAAGATCATGTCTAGACATGAATGTTAATCCCAGGTGTAACTAACACATATTTTTTTACCAGTACACTTCTTAAACAAAGGTTTTGCACCTGGTGAGTGTTTGGCAAATTATGTTTAGGCATACATTTGCCGATTATGGTCAGTATCACAGAATGCCAGAAACAGTAAACACAAATAAATACTTTGCAGTCCAGAGCTGAAGAGGATCTAGCACTCAACTACATGACTTCACACATTTTCTTTTATTTACCACCAGCCCACTGTGGTGGATAGAAGATGCTCTGTCAGTGCAATAGGGCCTACACACGTTGGAAGTAAATAATGTTACCGAATATTTTAAGAAACACACTTGTTAAATATGACTTGCTACTTCAAACCATGAAAGTTAAATGTGTTTTATCCTCCTGGAAATAGTTGTGTTTGTTTTTCTACAGTCTTCTGAAGACCAGAAAGAATATAACCACAAACTTTAGAAAAGACAGCAAAACCCACCACAATTATCAATGGATACAGGTTTGGGGTCTCTTTAAAGCCTCAAACCACAACTACCTGAAACATATCTGCTGGCAATGGCAAGCACCTGCATCGAAAAACAGAACTTTTTCAACCAACTTCAACAGAAGAACGTTCATATTACTGCAGGTACAGATCCTGATCAGTATGTTTCCACTTTCTTACTGTTATGCTGCAGACCTAATAGCTTCAAGGTCTGACAAAGTACCTTCTGTCTCACTCCCTAAGGTGGTCAAATCACAGCAAGAAGCTTCATGTAGGGTACATATTACAGTTGAATCTCAAGACACTGCCCTCTACATATTATGAAAAAAGTATCTTGTATGTCAATAGCCAGAGGATTATTACTTGAAGAATGTTTTTATTCCTTCAGACACACAAATAGAGACAGTCTGAAGATTCAGGCCCCTTGTTTTATATGAAAACATTCACGTATGGGCGGCAGAGGAGTTTTTGTTCATTTAAACCAGTGCTTTTCACCTTATGGCCCACCTCTCAGGGACTGAAGAGAGGTCAGCAAGACAAGCAAGACTTTTGAGTCCAGCTTTACACCGGCCAGAGAGATCCACAGCTCCCTCCAGACACAGCTGAGAGCCCGCAAACCAAAAAAAAAAAAAAAAAAA